ACCCTCAGCTTATTTTCAGAAAAACAAGTTTTTTTTCGTAATTAATTGGAAGAATAATGTAATAAAATATATGAATTGATTTATAAGTATATAAAGTCACTTGAACAAGAAACAGAAAAAAAAATTGCCTATGACTGGGATCGAACCCTGCCCAGCAAAATAAAAGGTCGGGGCTCTAACCACTGAGCTATTATAGTTCCAATTATATAAACGATGCTTGAAAATTATAAGCTACAGGCTTGGGCACAGAAAGTGGGGGTCGAGCTTGCCGGCGAAGTATCGGAACTCGCCGCGGATTGTTTAAACAATTTTTTATTATTAATAAGTTGTTAAAAAAGGCTATTATCAATGTATTTGTACAAAAAAAGGTTAATGGCCCTGTTCAAATATTTTCTCATTTGTCATTGATTAATTGAAAAAAAAATTTTACATAAAAATTGAAATTTAAAACTCATTTTTGGCATGATAAAATTGCAATTACATGCAATTTAAATAAAAAAAAAATTTTGCCGCAATTGGAATCGAACACCGTTCGGTAAAATAACTGGCGAACCTTCTGACTATAGAGCTAGCATATTTTCATTTGCTTTGTTTACGTTTAGATATCGTAAGCTTCAGGCTTAGTAACAGAGGGTGGGGAATGTGCTTGCTCGTCAACTGTTCGAACTCGCAGTCTTCTCTGAAAAATAAGACGGAGATAGATAGATATATTTTGTGCTCTGTCTTGCTCGGAACAGATTATTCTGAAATTTGTAAATTTCTTGGTACCCTAAGGCTCCCTTTTTGTAGTGCATCCCTGAAAATTATCATTTTTCGAACGATTTCTCTGTTACCTACTCAATTTCAATTGATATCGAGCTTCGGCTTTTCGCCGCACAACGTGAGGGCGTAAAGTCAACTCCGGGAAACTTTCTGACTTCAGCCCAGCCTTAAGCCCAGCCTCTTATTTTTCAGAGAATGTTAAATGAGTATCATCATTTTTTTTTATCCTAACTGCAATAGTCATCAAAGTGTAGGGCATTGTAAAGTGATACACTATGTTTACATCACATACATATATTACCCGTACACACACATACAGAATTTACTCGCCAAAATGCAGGGCACCATCAGTTCTGGATACGGATTGAGCATTTTTTCAATATGGATGACTGAGGTCATCTGCGAGCATAATGCTGTCACCTATCAGAATTTTTTCAAACTAATTTTCCGGAGAATGTCATCTGGAATACAAGATTTCTAATTATTTCTAAATTATTCAATTTTATACTATGAATTGATTTTTTTAACATTCAGACAGGTGGCAAGGACTGACGCAAACACGAATTTTGGGCAAAAAACGTATAAAAATAGAATAATTAGTGATTTTTCATCTGAATGATGTGGCCGCCATCTTGAAATTGAAGCGCGGCAAGTCAATTCATAATTTTTTCATTATTCTTTCTAATTTTTTTAATAAAAATATTCACTATATGCAAAAAATTGTTGTTTACGTCAGTCCGGCATTAATTCCTCTGTAATTTGGTACCTAATTTTATAGAAATAATTGTAAATTGGCGAAGAAATTAGAAATTTCCCGATCCCATGTATTTGGATAGGGGGAATCAGTTGCCTTTCTGACTTCAGCCCAGCCTTAATAATTGTACTAAATTTTACAGCGTCAACATAATAGAAATGGCTTTTGTCTTTGGTCGGTATAGTAAATACCTTCCATATTTCCAAGATAATCTTTGTTTTTTTTTTCAGATAATATTCAAAATACAAAATAGTTGATCAGTAATTCTTTTATATATTGTTAATTATTAAATAAATAATAATATTTTTTCATTTATTATCACTTATAGTAGCTAATAATGTTTAGTGTGGTAATTATAATTCTTATATTGTTGATGTCATTATTATTGATTACGTTGATGTTAGGTATGAACTTTTCAAGTCTCTTATTCTGGATGGCTGGTGGTGGTCCTGGTACCAATAATAATTCAATAAAAAGAAAAAGAAAAAGACACTTTAGATGGTGTGTTGGAGATTTTTCTATCCTAGGCTTCTATATTTATATTATGCTTCTTCTAAATATAGTGTTTGTGATAAAAGTCATTAAGAGGTTATAATGACATTGCAGTAATATACATATAAACGAGAGGTGTCGAGCTATTGACAAGAAACTTGTTTTCATTGATGGACCATGGACAATCCAATGCTCATTATCAGAGCGAGCAATTTTTATTATGTTCAGAGAAGAGAAACAATTTTCCAAGGTATTCATCAAAATAAGGTTATTAGTGGATGGGGAATATCCGTGGCGAAATTGGTATTTTTTCTGCCAACTTTGTGAGTGATCAAGTTCGGTCTGTCGAGATTGACTTCAATAAACTACAACTAGGAAAATTTATAGAAATTGTATGCTTTGGTAAAGTTTACGAGTAGGTATTATATTAAAAATAACTTTTAATCATTTCAAATTGTGTCATTCGATTAATGCTATGATAAAAGAGTTTTGTTTTGTTGAACTTGTTATTGGGATTGAAATTTAAATATCAAATTCATGTTAAATATTCGTTTTCTGCATATTATTATGCTTGTAAATATTATACTTTTATTTTTTAACGTATTTAATACGATTTTTTTTATAAAAAATTTTATTTTTTCTAAATATAATTTCATAAGATAATTTAATAATTTAATAGAATTTTGAACTTCCCAGTGGGAAGTTATACACTGAGAAAAGAGTTTGACTGAGCCAAATATATATATTTATTTGCAATATTTTTTCGAGTATTTAGTAGTTATTAACAAATTTAGTAAATCTTATAAAATGGCAGAATTACATTCCATAAGGTGAATACTTGAAACAAAAAGAACATTTATTTGTGGTACTTATTCAGCACAAATAAATCTTATTTTCCAGAAAATTGTGAAAAGTTTGAAATATCAGAGCAAATTACATTTCATCGAAGTAAATTAATCAGGAAATAAAATAATTAGTATTATTTCAGATAAATAGAATTATTTACTTTGAAATGTATGAAAGAGTTATAATTACAAAATAGACATATTTTTTTCAATGTGGATTTATTAATAGTTAACAAGCCAAATTTGTCAATGATTAATTAAAGTTATTCTTAGCAGTAAATTATATTTAGTGGTAAGATTGAAATCTTTAGACTGAATATAACATCTGCTAATCGTTAAATAAATAAAAAATTGTGTGAATCAAATTTTTGCAAGTTATCAAATAAAGATGTAGAAGTAGGTGTAGAATAAACTATTTTGATGTAAGTACACAAGTATTTACTGTTAATAAATTAAATTTTGCTGCGCTAAAAAAAGGGTATTGGAGATCTTCGATATTTGTATATTTCTCCCACTTATACATATAAATATATGTATATGCAATTTTTTTCCGAGCTGTATTAGAACTAAAACCTACGCTTTATTTACAATTCATTGCTCTATAAATCAAAACATTGTTTGATGCTTTGGACACGATATAATTAATGGTTACAATCGGATATTACTTTAGTAGAATTTATTAATTCTTTCGTCGAAATGTACCATTATTTTTGAAAAATATCATTTGTTTAGAATAAACAAATACGATTTTAGATAAGCGAATGTATAATTGCTAAAGTACATACATAAACCAAGAATCCGTGTGCTATTCGATTATAGTAAAAAAGATTTCAGCTAACTTGTGTGTATTTCATGTATGAATAGTAAACAAATCGAGTTCCTAAGAATTAGCTGGTCAGAGAAACGCGTCTTTGTTGACCAAACGGCCAACACTTGAGCGAATGCAGTCGGTGTTTGACACAGTATCGATAGTATTCTCTCAAACATCCATTTATTAACAGTTACCAAATCAAGTTTGAAGAAAACAAAAGACGTGTTTAAGTTTCGTACGTTGTCGTTCACATCATTTCTTTTGTGAACGTGAAACGATAAAGACGTGTTGACTTTGTGTAATGGAAGAATTTTTGATTCAATCAGAACTTACTCATCTACAATCAGTTCTAGAAGGTACGTAAATTATATTAAACATGATAATTAGTTTTATATTTATATATAATAAATACATACATATAATAACTCTAAAGCTAATTATTTCACTGCATTCTCTATCAATCTGTGTTGTAGTAAAAAAAAATAGATATCGTAGCATCATTGGATTCTTTTTGTTTTTTTTTGAGTTTATGTAGGAAATTTATTCATTTAATTTGATGTATTATATATATCTAATCCCAATTTTTATTTTTTTTTATCCACTAACACCATTAACTCGGTGTATATTCTCAGAAAATGGCATTAATGATTTAGAAATTCTGGGCGAGCTTATTGCTCATCCAGATGATATGAAGGCGGTTATAACAAATGGGGGAGCACGATTGAAGCTAGAAAAGAAATATCAACAATACGTATGTGACATTTTCTTTGATTTCAATTCATTACATCATAAAATATTTATTCTTTTAATTATTAATATTCCATTTTGCATCCCCATTTCTCTATTGTAACTAAAGTATGTCTCATTTTCTTCACTCATGTTGCTTTTTTTGTACTGTAGAAAGGTTTATCGATCACAAAAAAGATTTGTTAATAATTAACACATCATATTTCACATAAAAATGATCTGTTCACTGAAAATATGATGTGTTTGTTATGAATAAATATTTATTCTGTAAGTTTATATCAAGCATCTGTAGTGATATAATTTTTCTTTCCATTAATTCAGGTACAAGTAAATAAGGATATCCTCGAATTAAATCTTCCAGTGACTTCAGGTGGTGGATTAGTAAATCCTTTACCACTTCAATTGATTGAACAATTCATTAATATACCACCCGAAACATCTGAAAGTAATTCAGTGGCTCCTGTCTTATGTGCAAGTGATGCAGCTGCTCTTTTGCAAAACAGAGCTGAATCGCCTCCTAAAAAGGCAATTATTGAGTCATCGAAATTTGAGTTTTCTGTGGAATCAACATTGGAGGGACATCCAATTGGAGTAGCTCTTTTGAAGATTGGAAAGTTCAACAAAAAACTGACGACTCAATATCAATCGATGATAGTTGACATTATTGTTTGTGAGCTTTTACGTATTCCACGGTATGTAACAAATTATTATGTGTATATTTCTTTATTTCACTATCAAATTATTCATTAATAATTAACTCACTTTATAGACACGTTACAAATGATGATCTTAGTGAAGTTGCTCAACAAATAGTGCTGTTATTTGAAGAAGAGTGTGTCGAAACATTCTATATACCACCCGTGAAAAAAAGAGATTCAAGATCAAATTTATCAGAAGTTTCAAAAGGAAAGCTGCCAGATAAACTTCGTAATTTGAGAACAATAATTCGTGAAGCAGCTCGTATTGGAAAAGAAGTAACGATATATACAGAGAAAGAGAATCACGACCAAAAAGGTATCTATAATTTCTTCTGATTTGCATTTGTGATAATATTGATTATAATTGTTCTTCGAATTTTATTGAAATTTTTAAATATAGTTAGAGCTCTGACACCCAATAATTTATTTTTAAAGTATTAAATAAAAAAAGGTATAATTTAAAATTTGAATGCACATTATAACTGGAATCAAATATTATTTTTCAAAATCATAATTAGAATTATTCATGTATAATTATAATTTCTTTTATTATGATGAAATTAAAATTATGAATAACTACATTTTAAAATAGCAAAGATAAACACATGAATAGATTCAAAAAACCCATACAATTAAATACTTAATTATTTTTTATTTGTAAGAGAAAATTTTGATTTATTTATCAGAAATAGCAACAGCAGAAGAAAGCAAAATTTGGCTTGTGCATAACAGAGAATCGACTGAAGTATTAAACCATTGGAATTCATCGTACATTCTGCGTGAAATAGATTTAGATGAGAAGAACTATGCTAGCATTGAAGACGTGTTAAACAATTGGCCAATTTTAAAAGAATCAAAAAGCTTTGAGCTGGTATAATTGATTTCAAGTGATTTTTAATATTATGTTTTATTCTTACATAGTTGCATGAGTTTTTGTTTTTTTAGATTGAGAAAGACTTTGATAGAAAGTTTCCTAATGCTGGTAACACTTTCATCCTAGAATGGGATAAGTTTTTTGGAAATCTATTGAATTTATATGGACAAAAAATTACAGACCAGGATTCTATATACGTAAAACTCTTAGATAACAAGGACAGCCAACTTCGAGCAGGTACATATATTTAACTTATAAATTAACAATAGATTATCTCATTTTATAAACTAATTTTGTGAACCTTGTTATATAGACAGTAAAACTGCTATACAGTTCTATCTATTAGCGAGTTTAATGGCTCCAAAGTCTAATAAAACAAGGGTTAAGAAAAAAGAAAAAACAACGAATAATGAACGATTAGGTTTTTGGAAACCGAGTATTGCTGAATCGCGTGAAGGCTTCATTCTTCACGTACAGGTATAATCTTCGTTGTTTTTTTATTAATACTTTATTAATATTTTTGAAGAGTAGTAAATAAATATGCATGATATCTGTATAAAGATAGTTTATGACATGATAATAATTTTTTCAATGGTCTACAGATTCCCGGAGACATAGAGACTCGGATATATTCTAAACAAAAAGCATTGATTCAAAAAGGATTGCATCTGCAGCCATTAGTGATTGCTATAGGAGAAGATTTGACGAATATTACTAAGTCGTATGTAAGATTTGAATCAGTTACATATGAACTGCCATCACTTTTAAAAGCTATTGATGTTCTGTTCAAAATATATTTAGTTTTTAATTTAGCTTACCCGTTAGAATGCGAGAATTTCTGTTACTTGATACAGTGGGGAGTCTATCAAATTAAAACTAAATCGGACACGAAAATTCCGTTGGTATTTAATACATTAAATAAGTTAAAGCCCAAAGATAAATAACACTTTGTTATAGTTACTTCGCTATTATTAGATGTTTACTCAATATTTTTATACATGAATTGCTTAATTTTTTCCTTTAAGTTCATACAAAAATTTTTAATTTTATCAAAGAAAACTTTTTGAATAGATTCATTATCATGTAATCTTAATCTCAACGATAGAAAGTATTAAAGTAAATTATAGAAGTTTGATCAAAATAAAAAATTGATAAGTCAACTAATATTGAGATACTCAATTGATTGACATACTATATTGATTTATATTTTTCATCACATCATTACTATAATTTTTTATTTACTTAATTGAATTAAAGCTTAGTGTGGTTTAATTACAAAATGTATTGCAGTATATGCAACGAATTTTCCTCTCCGTGCAGTTTACAAGTATTGCGTCATATGCAACTTTTTCACTCTCATAATACTGTTTATCCGTGTATCAATAATTGTAACAGGACATTTGCATCAATACCAACTCTGAAGAAACATATCAAAATTTGCTTAGTAGCTGCTAATGATTTGGTAACACAAAATAATACACTATTAAAATCAGAAGTCAAGTTTGATTCTACTTTAAATAATACAGATCATAATGACCACACGGAAAGTTCTGAAGATCAGAGTAGTATTGGTACAATTGTCGATGATAAATGTATTGAGCGAAAATTTTTACAATTTATTGGCTATTTGTATAATAAGCCATCATTATCGAGATTGATTGTCCAGGATATTGTAGAAAATTTTAGTGAGTTGACACACGGTATAATTTCCATTTTTGAACATAATTTGAAAACTGCAATTCCTTCTGATTATCACGATTTGATTACAAATATTTTACAAATTAATCCATGTAGCAATTTCGACAGTGAATACAAACGATTCAAATATTTTAAAGGTCAAAATTTACTTATAACTCCTGTACCTTTCAAAATAGGAGAAATTAAAGATGATAAAAAAATGAAAGGTACTGTAGTTTTAACAAATAAACAATGTTTTGCTCAAGTAGTACCAATGCGGATTGTACTGCGTCAATTTTTCGAATTACCCAATGTCTACGAAAGAATAATTAGTTATATTAAAGATGAGTCTTCCCGTAATTATTTACCAAAATTATACACCAGTTTATTTCAAGGAAAAATCTGGGAAAATATTTCAAATTCTTATGGTAAAAAAGTTGTGGTACCTCTTTACCTTTACTATGATGATTTTGAAATATCTAATACACTTTCAAGTGCGGCTGGAATATATAAAATCGGTGCATTCTATTTTTCCATAGCTTCAATGCCCCCAGAATATTCTTCTTCGATTGATTCCGTTTTTTTAGCTGAATTTATCCATACTATGGATTTAAAAGAGTTCGGAAATGAAAAATGTTGTCGAGCTATTGTTGATGAATTAAAATTCTTGGCAGAAGAAGGGATTTGGGTAGATGTAAATGGCATTAATAAACAAATTTTTTTCGTCCTGATTGGTGTATTAGGTGATAATTTGGGCATGAATGGCATATTAGGGTTTTCAGAAAGTTTTATAGCTGAATATTTTTGTCGATGTTGTAGAAGTACAAACAATGAATGTAGTAAGCAGCTTGTAGAAAATAAAGGATCACTTCGAAATATTCATAATTATGAAGATGATACAAGAAGTTTATCAACAGGCGTAAAGGAAAAATGTATTTTTAATGTAATTCCGCATTATCATTGTACGATAAATATTACTTGGGATTTGATGCATGATTTATATTTAGGCATTTGTCGTTATGACATGGCTAAAATCATAGATCACTGTATTAAAAAAACCTATTTTAGCTTAGAACATCTAAATAACCGTTTGAAATATTTTGATTATTCGGAAATTGATCGTGGTAAGAAAATATCGTTTATTTCAGCACACCACATTCATAAGGGTAATATAATTATTACAGCTTCAGAAATGTCAGCTTTAATTTCTTATTTTGGAATAATCGTTGGTGATTTAGTTCCAGTTGATGATGATGCATGGGAGTTATATAATACCCTTTATGAAATTATTGACATTGTAACCAGTTCATCAATATCAGAATACCAAGTAATTCATTTGGAACAGTTAATACGAAATCACAACGAACTTTTCATAAACTTATTTGGGCCTTTAGTTCCAAAAAGTCACTTTTTAACTCATTACCCATTATGTATAAAAAATATGGGACCAATAAAGAATCTATCTAGCTCTAAATTTGAATCGTTTCATCAATTGTCGAAAAAAAATGCTCATGTTGTCAACTCAAGGATTAATATTACGTATACTCTGGCATTAAAAATGCAATTACAAGTATGTTATAGAATTTTAAGTCAGAAAGGACTTGAGCCAAAAATTGAATACGGTCAGGTGTTAGAAATTTCTGATAATTATGAATCAACATTTTCATCACATATAGGTGCAGAAGCTTGTACAGTTTCGTGGGTAAAAATCAACGGAACAATATATAAACCTGACTTTGGTATATACGTAAAAAATGATGATTTTAATGATCCAATGTTTGGTATAATTATAAGTATTATTATGAGTAAAGACTGTACGATTTTCTTAGTTTATAAAGAATGCTACACTATTGGTTTTAATAATCATCAAAAGGGATATGAAATTGTAACGCCAAATATTCATGTTAAAACTAAATTATTTAATATAAATAATAATTTTTATGTAAGGCCTGTAAAAATTCATGTTACAGCAAACGGTAAAAAAATTATAAGTCGCAGAGATTTACAATAAAGAGTTATTTTTATCTATAATTTTGTTGTTCAATAATTTATTCTGTATTAATATTTATATCCTGTAAATTACCAAGAAAAAAATTGAATTAATGCTTAATTTACTACGAATTGCTAAAATATGTTTTTAACAAAAATTGAAAATTGATTCAAATACAAGTAATTTATTTGAAATATCGTGCAGGTTTCGTTTGTCTCCTGACAAAATTGATTCTAACGAGCATACTTTTATATTAAATATTGATTTATTTTTACCATCATAATATCTGATGTTATCAAAGAATACGTTTCTTTATTGTTAACACACCGACTTTCCAACCATCTGCACATTATTTCGAAAAGTAAAAAAATCTATTCTATGTAACCATGTAATAGATTGCTTTAGCTTCTGTATTTATTCAATGAATTATTTTTATAATATATAGAAATATTGTTTTATTTGAGATGACTCTTGCAATTTTTTTTTACAAAGATTTATTTTATTCGCCCAAACTTATGTAATTCTTTTTTAAATTAATGCTCGTTTTGCCTAATTGACTATAATGTTGAATTAATCTGATTTTAATTTAATACAATGCAACGATTTGTTCGTTGTTAACAAATGAAAGTTTGATGCAAATCAAATCATCAAATATGGGAGTTGTTAATAATAACTAAATATTTATTTCGCCATTATCAACTATATCATTTTTTAATCACAAACAAATCTTATTTATTATAAATAATCTATTTTCTCAGTGTAGATTAAAAATAATTGAGTAAGTACAATGGATAAATTTTTAATTAGTAAAATTTTATACTCTTAATAATTGTTGAATTACTTGAACTATTCTCTACGTCAGTTTATTATTATATTATTGTTAAATTATTAATAATTATCATTAAATTAATCATTTTACATAACATTGAAATAATCATAACAAATAATTGATAATTGCGTGAAGTGGTGTAAGCTTGAGGCTTTCATAAATTTAATGAATCGAACATTTTTTTTTTCTTTGTTCTAGTATCTTCCAATTAACTAATTTATTGATTAGGGTTAAATGTTATATTTAGCAGCATGTGATTATGGTTTTTTCTCGTAAAAAAATGGAATGACGTCATATTTTCCTTTGTTCGAAAACAATACCTATAAAACATGAATTCGTATTTTTGACTGAGTAGCTATTTGCACAATATATATATATATATGTATATAGATATTTATATATATATATATATATATATATATATATATTTAATTTTTTTTTACTAAAAATATATAAAATTATTTAAAATTTAATAAATTATTTAATAAAATAAAACGTATTATAAGATAAATTTTTTTCTGTAATTAAATTGAACATATGATTTCAGTGTGTGACTTAACACAATTTTTTGTGATATGAATATTTTGTAATATAATACACAAATTGTAAAATTTTTTTTTATTTTAAATAATGGAAGTATATCCGCGGGAACGACCAGGGACATGTAGATATAGTTATCAAGATCATATTTATTATCACGATGCCCGTTACCCCAAATATGTGGAACAATATGTTTGTTCCTTACGAAATTCATGAATTTGGAATTGCCAAGTGACGGCATCAGTTTTGCCAGGTGGATGGGTAGAATTATCTGATGTCCATAGACACCCATCACGTCAAATAGACAACGAGATTCGAAAGCGTCAAATGATTGCAGAAATAAAAAGAAGAGCCCGGGAAACGAACGACACACCTGATCATATATTTACAGAAGTATCAAGAGAGTGAGGATAAATATTTTCTTTAACGTGTTTTCATTTTTATACGATTTTGATTCAATCATTTTGAATCACATCGAATATTTATTTTAATTCAGATTTCCAGACATTGCATTTTCTATGCGTCCGGAAGCAAGACGTATGCATGTCACGCGAACTCGTCAACTTTGTTGTCCGCCTATCCCAACGTCGATGGAAGAATTAGGACCTATGTTACATTCATATTTACCAGCTTCGCCAATATTTCGGGAAGCAGTTACTGCAGATGACGAAAGTACTGGAATTATTTTCAGTAGCCAAGATATGGTCAATAGATTCAATATGGTAAATGATTTACACATTGATGGTACTTTTAAGGTATGTGTAATTATGTATATATCGCTAATTTTTTTTAGATTTATTTAAAATAATAAATATTTTCTCTTATGTTGTATAGTGCATTCCGTAACTTCCGAGAGCAACTCAACTTTTTATTATACACTTCTGCATAATGAACATTGTAAGTAAAAACATTATTTATGTTGATAATTTTTTAGTGGAAGTTTAGTACAAATTTTACTAAAAGCGCCGCTTGAAGCTGTAGAGAATTCATCAAAATCAATGATATTTTTCTTTAAATTATTTTGACTACCAAATTGTATATTGCGCCTGTTGATTATACACTGTTAAAATCAATCGTTAGATTATTTTTGCTGAAAAGTACAAATACAGTTGCCTGTTGCTTTGTGATAAATAGTTAACGGTTACTATGTTTGACAAAACCACGGTGTATATTCTAAGCCTAATAAGCGCGAAAGTGAGAAAGAGATATAAATAGTAAGGAAGGAAGACAATAGAGTGGTGAAGTGAAAAGTATTGTAACAAAGTGACTTTAGAGAGAGAGAGAGAGAGAGAAAGAGGCCGAGTGCAACGAATAGAGTCAGTGTAGTAGTCCTATCTTCAAAGAAGTACTTAAGGCCGCTGTACTGCGTGCCCACTGTTGGCCATGCGGTGTGGGACAACCAAGCTGGCTTTAGTTGCCATGTTTCTCGAGCTATTACATGGCTACGCGCTCAGTTTTGCTTCGGCTGTCACGTTATGTGCGAATTTTGTGTCAATCCAAGTTAATTAATTAGTCTCAAATGTACAAGAACGTGCGCGTGTATAAGAAATAAGCATCTTTTGAAAAAGTTAATAGGAAAAGTTGAATTACTAGTGTTTTGTCAGTGTCAATGTTTGATGAAGCATCGGTTGCACAAAATTTTTGAGAAAAAATGAATTTTTTTGATATTCTGATGTGAATAAAAAAAATAAAAACATTTTTCATGACTTTTATGTACGTGTGTATATGAATGTACTTCTATATTTGCTCGAGTTTATATTTTCCGAGTATTCCTGACTCGGACGAACGAGAGATAGTGGTAGTTAAGAAATTAAGTACAAGAACGAGAGTACCTATTGGGCATTTAGATTAGATTAGTGTTTTTATTAAATGTGATGAATTATATGTACACTTTTATTTAGATAAAATTCTTTCAATTATTTTTTTTCATCAAATTAAAAATTAAAATTTTAATTCAAATCGCGTCGTGTGTTTCGTTTTGTACATTGTAGATGGTGAATTTTCTCGTGAGCGTTTTGATATCAAGATTCAATTGAGTTAATATTTATATTTGAGATTGATTGAAACTTTAAGTGATAGCGTGCGTGTATACAGTATTCAAAATGACCTTTTTTTTTCTTTTGCAAGAAACACAGTAGATAGGGCTATAAGATTTATTATTGATTATCGTTGTGAAATTTCTCAAAAGTACTAAAGGTCACGAGTGTATTTTCTTAAGACTATTTTAATTTAGTATTGCAGATAATGCTGAAAATACAATAATTTGCAAGTTACAGGTTTATACAGGCAAATACGTTTTTGTACATACAGAGCATATCAATTTAGAATAAATGGTAAAAAATATTGATTAAATAATCTTAATATATATAATAGTGTAGATGATGACATTTTCAACAATTGTTTTTGAATTTGATACTCCGATTAATACGCGTTTATTCTTGGAACTCGGTACAGTCTATTTGGGAATCAATTGAGTTCGAGCACCAACTTTGAAGAAACTGAAAAAAAAATTCATTCAAATAAATTTTTCCATTTTTTTAGGGTCTACCAGCACTCTATGTTTTGTGTAGCCGCAAAACTACTGCCATGTATAATAGTATTTGGAGTTACATTATGAGGGTTGCTCCAGGGATTGTCAAAAATTTAAAAATTATTATAATGGACTACGAAAGAGCATTGATATTATAATTTTAAAATACTAAGAAACGCCAATACAAATTTATTAGAACTAACTTGGGCACTTCCATTACTTCCTCCAGATGATTTTGAAAATGCAATAGACATTTTAAGCGTCGAAGGAAGAAAAATTAAACATCAACATCAAAATGTCGAACGTTTTTTACGATATTTAGAACGCATTTGGGTTCCATTGAAAAATCTTGTATCCGTTCGAGTATCTTCGATCCAAACTAATAACATCGCAGAAAGTTTTAATCGACAACTTGTAATAAAATTAGGAGGCCCGTATCCATATTTATTTAATTTTATTGGTAAATATTTTTCTGTGAATCAATAGTAATATAATGTGATATAAATATTTTACGACATGAAAAAATATCAGTGCTCTGCAGTGGTCTGGGTGCGACCCGAAAGGTCCACACGACCAACTTCCCAGTGGAAAAAATAAAAAAACAATTTATACAGAACCCGTTTCCATTTTTTATAACAAGTGGAATTGTTATAAACGAAATGAGTCTGTTTTTATTCATTTGATATGGTTAGTTACTTTATTTCAGTAAAAGAAAAAATTGTGCGTTAAAAGAATTCGAATATACCTCATAGATCCTTTTATTCATTATTTACAACAAATTACATTGTCATACACGAAAAAAGTATGTTTTGATTTATGTCATACGGTTGGTAACATTTTTTTAGTAAAAGAAAAAATTATGCGTTCAAAGTACTCATATATATAGAAAGGGCCCCTATTTTTATTGTTTATAACAATTTAAATCTTATTATTCAAATATTACCATGATCAATAATCATTTGTTAGTAACAATGTTCAATTGTTATGGACACAATTTCATATTATTAACAATTATTACTGACTATTATAGCGTCTTTAATGCTATTTTCTCAATCTTCATACGAGTTTGAAATTCTTTCATTGCTGATTTTGTTTTTCAAAATTTTTTTTTTTCGATGAAACATTGTCATCATATTTTCAAACAAGTATTCTAATCATTTAATATTCATATTTTTTTTAAGATTTCGAAATTTTGTCTAAAAAATGGTATAATTTAGAAATTGAGAAATTCAGGTCATTTTCCATTTTTGCTAGTTTTTTAGTTCTGCAAAAAAAATAGCTCGACCGATTTCGTTAAAAATCTAATCAATTCTAAGTTACATAATTACGCGTCGAATGCAATTGGTCCCACATCGATATCATTTTTTGTTCTCGGGAAATCGAGGCGACAAATAATTCCGAACGCACATACGTACATCCGCACACACAGATGTCCACTGGAAAACGATCGTATTCGACTCTGGAGACCTTAAAACGTGGAGATATGTCAAAATTAGCGATTCGCAAAATCGGACCCATTACTATAACTTCCCACTGGGAAGTTAATAATTATTTTTTGTTCATCAATAACATTAATCTATTGTAGGGCTAATTTCAGGTTTAACACCAGCTGAATCTAAAGCCAGAACGGTAGAATAAGTGAAACTTCTCAACAAAGAACTAAGAAATGCAGGTGCAGGAACACCTCCACCAATGATATACCGATGAGAGAGTGTAATATCATCATCATAAAGTAATGAATTTTTTTTCTAATAAGCTTGCAAAATTGATTCTTAGCATCAAAAAAAAACAATATAAAGTTACCAAGGCAAGATTTACTTTTTCACATTTTATAAGATGATTGCATAGTATTAAATAACGTGTAATAATCTTTCAAGCGGCTTATAATTTTAACATGAAATATTACATGAGTATATTTAATTTTAGCTATCGGAGATGTAAAAAACACTATCCTGGTTTATTGAAGGCAACAATCGAGTGGTTTAAAATTTATAAAATTCCTAATAGAAAATCAGAAAATCAATTTGCTTTTAATGGCAAAGCAAAACTCCGTGACTTCGCTTTACACATTATAGAAGAAATTCACGAGCACTGTAAGAATATTATCAAACGTGAGACTGGAACTTCAGGAATTATATAGTAGTCACAATATAATTATTTATATATAAATTACTTGAAGAAAATCTCATCAAAGGTAGACATGTATGTAATTTCAGTATCAATTTCACTGTGGATAGAAGCCCATTTAAAATTGATGCAAGTGCAGCTGAAGATATTTTGAATCAAGTATTGATAAGAATAATAGTAATAACAATAATAATTAATGTAACTATATCATTGATTAATTAATTACATTGAATAAATTTTGTTCTTGTTGTATGAAGAAGAACACTTTTTTTTATATTATGGTGTCAGTTTGAATGTATCTTATGTCTAATCTTTTAATTAAATGAAAACCTAAATTACTATTCTTGAATCACGAATAAAATGGTCAATGCATTATATTTTTACAAATATTTGTTAATGAATATAATCAGAATTTTCATTGTCTTCAAACGAATACATGAGTAGTTAACGTGACATAAGTCATATGACTTTTTTTTATTCTCAAAATATATTAAAACTTTAAAATTAACACTTCATTTTAAAATGATCAAAGAGACTTGTGTTCATTTCATTCAAAGTAAGTTTAAAAGAATTTATTAAAAGATTTAAAAGATTTGTATAAAAACATGATTTTCAAATTTGACTTTGTTAACCGAATAGTACTTAGTTTATTATCTTTGTCGTAAATATTTTTAAATGTACAATTTTTTGTAATAATTTAAGAAGAAGCTCAAAACTACTCCAATGATAATGAATAAAAAGGATAAATAAAAGTGAAGTATTTTATAAATAAATATTTTTTTTAATATAATTCTTTTGTTCAAATGCTCCAAAAGTCATTATCCTTATTTACTATTTCTTCGCAAAATTCTAGAAACATATCGTAATATGGTCCTTTGTATTTTGATTCTCCCTTTTCATGTAAATGATATTCTTCCTGAGAAAATGATAACTATTATAATAATGAAAAAATTATGATTATGAAACCTACTTTAAATTTGTGATATAAATCACAAAATTTTCTTCAATATTCCAATGGATTAAGCCAGGGAAGCGACATTTCTTTTGCTATGAAACTTAAATAGAAATTTGTAAAATTAATAAATTATTTTTATAATTATATCAAATAATAAATTAAAAACAACTTACTTCCAAACTTCCAAATCATTTTTCCGTAACCCAGTGATTTCCCATAATTTTGTGGTTTCGAAATAACCTTCATAATATTTAATTCGTAATAACACTAGTTTTTTCTCCATTAATTTTGTCCCTGAAATAAAAAAAAATTAAAATAATATGTTATATTTATAAATGTAATTTATAATTTAGAATCTTTAAAATATAAAAAAAATTACACATTTTTAAATTGTTTAATTTATTTTAATACGGTCAATTAGTCCACTTCAAATACATATTAATAAACAAATGAAACATGAAATTGTTTTTCTTATGTTTTTGAACATAATCACAATTTTTGTTTTCTAATTTTAAAATATACAAATCCATTATTATGCATTGGGGTTACTGATAAAAATTTAGATTTATCAATTATGAAATTCAAATCTGAATAATACTCTGATTATAAAACTTTCGAATGATCTATTTCTGGTTCATCGTCAACAATACTTGTACTGTTGTGGCAAGCATCCTGTGAACTAGTCCATCGCTTTTTTTTCTGTCTCTACGATATCTACATTCATAGTCTTTTGATTCCTTCTCATCGGATTCTTGTTTCACATTTGGCTTCATTTCAACATCTTCTGGTTCAATTTTAGCTGTTTCATTGAGATCATCAGTCTCTTGTTTCAAATTATCAGATGACTGTTCTTCGAACTCTTGTTTTATTTCTTTATCATCAGAAACATTTGAAGAATTAAAGTTATCAAAAGATTGTTCTTCTGGTTTAAAATCATGATTTCGATCATCAACGTCATTAATTTATGTTTTCTTCTGTGTCTTCACATTTTTATTCTGTTTCTTCAATAGAATTGAACATCTTATCATCTTCTGATTTTTCTTCTGAATATTCGTCAGATATTTTATTATCAATGTCATTTTCCTTATCATTTGTAAGCTCTTATTCCATTGGTTCATCATTTTGGATCGCATTTTTGGATATATTAGTTTTAGATATCAAGGAAATCGGCTTGGATTCATTTATCGATTCATCTTGAGCTAGTTTTTATTTCTGGTGCTTCTTCAGCTAGTTTAGGAGTACATATTTTCGTTTCTGATGACTCACTCATTTGCTGCATAGCTGCATTCTGTGACTCTGTCATATAGGAAGGTTTATTATTTTCTTAAACTCATCTCCACTAGTAATTTTCGTTATCACAGGAGTATCTGTTATCGATATTGGTGCTTCGTTAATAGGTGATTTTACAGATAAAGGAGTTTCTTGCGTTACAGGTGCTATTATAGTCTTTGGAGAGCCTCTTGTATGAGTTTTTATTCGATTACCACCTGAAGAACTCCTAGGAGATCTACCAGGTATTCTGATATGTGTAATAACCTTAGTTGGTTCTGGACTTTTCTCACGTTCATCTGAACATGAATCATAAAGAAATATGAAATTGTTTTTTAAAATATCTACATGATTGGAGCTGCAACAGACATCTTCATTTTTATGGATTTTGGAGTTAAAAAATGAATCATCAATAACCAATTCAATAACCTTCGTTGGCAATTACCAATTGCATTTTTCTCGGCATAGAATTGACTAAATTTTCAGTAAAATCTGGTCTGTTTTTCAAATCATACCAAACGTTCATTACACTCGTAATTAGATCATTACGATTTCGTCCTTGATAATTCCTACTCCATTGTTTTTCCATTTATCTTGTAATAATGATATTAAAAAAAATTAATTATTTTAATGAAAAAATTTGATTTCATTATAAGAGAAAAAAAAATAAATCTATTATGTGTATACCCCATATGTTTTCAATAGGATTTAAATTAAGGGAAAGAGGAGGATAAGGGATGAGGATCACTTCAGGGTGGTCAACGAACCATTGGCGAACAATACCTGCTGTATGAATTGAGGCATTATCCTGTCGAAAATAAATAAATGGGTATTCCTCTTCATGAAAGACCTCCCTCGCAGCTGAAGGCATTACATTTTCTAGAACTTCAATGTACTCTACTGCGTTCATGTGGCTTGAAACTTCTTGGAGTGCCATGACTCCAGTGGAAGTCATATAGCCCCAAATATAACAGATGATCATTACATCTTTTTGGAGTCACAAATCTAGAATCTAATCTTTGGCCAGGTGCTCTATAGACTACTCTCTTTCCATCTTTTTGAATTTTAAATAACTAAAAATAATTATTGATGAAATTTTCATTTTTATAATTAAAGGAAAACTTACTTTTTCATCGGACCAAATAATATTTTTCCACTGTTCCACAGTCCAACAAAGATGATCGTGAGCATATTCCAATCTTTGATGAATGTGGTGAGGTAGTCAAAAAGTCTTACATGCTGGTTTCGAAGCATATAAACCTAGCTATCTTGATCTTTATTCACTTGTTCTCACGGAAAAAAGTCCTAAAATCACAGAGATTTCACCAATTTTTGTACATAACAACTGAAAAAGAATATTAAAAAAAACTCTGTTCAGAAAATATTTTAATCATTTGTATGTTCGCGCTCGAGCAAAATTAACTTGTTACCAACTTTATAATTTGTTAGTGAAAGAACTTCACAGCAATCAAAAACTCTGATCACCAACCTAATAAAAAAAAAACGTATGATTGCTCTATAAAGCCCCGTCTACAATAGGACATTAGACATTAAACTTTAGGAATAAGAAACAAAACTTAGTCCATAGGAACGGAACATTAAACACTATCGTAAACATAAGCGGAAATGTCAATGCTTTATTTAATGTATATGTGTACTTTAAATTTTATTTATGTACAGTGGTGATTTTTAAATTTATTCAAATACCTAGTGCAAATAATGAAGAAGAAATATATATTAGTGTATTTATGTGCAAAAATTTTATAAATAAATGCATTTTTATAATTCGAAAAAATAAATCATTAATTTTTATTGAATAAATGATTTTTATTAATTCAAAACAATTAATATTTTTAAAAAATAATCATTTGGATAAAATTGTGTATAAGCCTGATACGTAATTTTAATTAACTGAGTGTTAATTACATTATTACATCTCTTGAAAGGTATTGTATTATTATATTTCATTATAAATATAATAAATAATTATTTTGATATTTATTAGTTTCATCTAATTTACAGAACTGCTAATATAATGCATTGGATAGATATTCAACTCCAGAGATTCAACGAGTTCCTTTAGACTCTTTTTTATTACAAATGAGAATTCGATTTTGTCTTTGAAAGAACATGGAGCTTTGACAGAAAATGAATAACTTGCTTGTATAACTTTTGTAACAATAATTAGAATTTATTTACATATATAAACTTAATTAAATACAAATAAAGATTGTATTTGTGTAAACACCATCAAACTTTAAATGGCTCAAAATTTTTTTTCAACGTTTTTCAAGCTGTGGTATATTTTGATCTAATCTCTCAAGTTTCTTATCACGATATTATGATTTCCACAAAGTGTTGCCCCAATTTTGATCTCGATTAGAATTATTTGGATTTTCTAGAAGCTGAAAGAGAATTGTTAATAGATGATTTATTGTAATTCAGCAATATAATCTGAATTATAATAAAAGTTTTAGATTAATTCACATAATCAATTTATTTATCTCAAAGTTAACTTACTTTTAATTAATATTTCCATTGTGGTCACCATGAAGTCCTCTAAAAACGTAGTCAAGCTGCCATGGTACTTGACCGTCTTGACTCATGAACCATGTGGACAAATTGTTTCTCTGCTCGTGTGCTTCTGCAATTGATTGACGAACGTTCGTTTGAGATAGTGGTTGTATATTACTTGGTTCTGTTTCACAATCAGAATCCAAATCTATAAAACTATTTTGCACATTGTACATTCTTTGTTCATGAAATATAAGAAAATTATGAAGACTAACACATGCAGCAACAATGTGATCAGTATTTGTTAAACTCTTATGAATACTTCTTTTCAGTACTCTCCATTTACTCGATAAAATTCCAAAAGTATTTTCAATGGTTCGTCGTGCTCGAGACAAACGATAATTAAAAACTTTTTGCGTTGTAGTGAGTTCATGACCTGGATATGGTCTCATCATATGGCGTGAGATTTTGAAAGCTTCATCTCCAACAAAAAAATGGTGAGTAAACATATTAGATCCTGGAATTTTGTTTTTTCTTTTGGCAGGTTTAATTTATCCTCTTCTAAAGCTTTTCCAAATGAAGATCTTGCAAAAACACCACCATCACTTTCACTTCCATATGCACCAATATCAACAAAGGTAAATTTATATTCATGATCACACACTGCCAAGAGTACGGTACTAAATGTTTTTTTATAATTGTAGCACATGGTTCCTGATTTAGGTGGAGCAATTATTTCAATATGTTTTCCGTCAATGGCACCAATACAATTAGGCATGTTCCATTTTTGATAAAAACCATCAGAAATAGCTTTCCATTGATCACTATCTGGAGCTTTAATATATTTTGGCATTAAAACTTGGGCCAACACAGCACACGTTTCATTAATAATTGAATGATGTGTTGATCTTCCAATACGATATTCGACTGCCTGAGATGATACTTCATCACCTGTAGCTAAATACCTAAAGAACATATTTTATTTGAAAAATGATTTGCAATAAGGTAGTGTCGCCGAAGATGGCCCGGCTCCTAGGATAGCCCACTTTTAATTTAAAACTTCGCGGTACCATAGACAACACTATTGTCTATGGTACTAGTAGCATAAACCCGCGAAATTTCAAATTAAAAGTGGGCTATCTTAGGAGCCGGGCCATCTTCGGCGACACTACCTTAATACATTTTTTCTTAACTTCAACATTAAGGACGATCAAGTTGTTATAATAATTGTAATAATGCAAATATTTTTTTCCGATAGAAAATCTCAAGCCAAGTATTTGTATTTGTATTTGAATACTTTTCAGAAGGTATTTTTTACAAGTCTGAAAAATATATACCTCAATGTTATTAGCAACCGATGTTCTGCTGAGATAGATTGACGACGACTATTTTTGGTCAGATATGGAGATACTTCTTCTAATAATTTATAAAATGATTGCTGAGTCATTCTGGTATAATTAAAAAATTTATCAGGAAAGTTTTTTAATTCCTGAAAGAGAGTGTTGAAATGTCCTAATTTTTGTCGTTGCTGATTAATGGGATGTACCCACCACTTTCTGGAACGTTTGTTTTTATTTTTTTTAGTATTTAAAATATGCTTCATCATCAACATTAATAATTGACAATTTAAAAGAACAATATTTAGTTCTAAATCACGATCCATTTTTTTCAAATGACAAATTTATGTTCACTTAATTATTTATTTAGCTTTTCATTGAAAAAAGAAAAATTCTATTCAAATCTGTCAATTGTTTTTGAACAAAACAATTTTTGTGTTACATCTTTCTGTGTTCATTTCATTAAAGTTGATATCTGTAGTGAAAAATAATTATAAGAAAATGTCTGAAGAAGCGAAACAAGGAGATGAATTATTAATATCGTTAGTGAGATCATATGAGCATTTGTGGGATAAGAAGAATGAAAACTATAAGGATCATCAAATGAAGGAGACGTCATGGTCAGAGATAGCATCAGCTATGGATATGACTTGTAAGATTTAAAAATAAAATAGATCTACATCGATCTATTTAGATCTTTTTTTTGCCACAATTAGATCTACTTTGTTCTGTGTACATCTGTTTTGATCACTTTAAATCTTCTGTGATCTCTGTAGATGTATTAAATTTTTTTTATCATCGAGATCAATGGAGATCTCCATAGACATACTGTTATTTGTGTAGATATACAGTGATCTCACTAGATATCCATAGATTTACTTAGATCAAATTTTTTTTAGTTTTTTAAATATGAGTAGATAAAATTAGATCTAGAAATTGGCAGTTTCAAAAACTACATTTTATTTATTTAAAAATTTCAATTTTATTATAGCTCATAATTGTCAATCACGATGGAAAAGGTTGAGAGAGTATTTTTCTAAAGAGAGGAAGAAAAGAGAAGACGAAGCAAGAAGTGGTAGCAAGGGAGAGGTTCGAAAGCCTTGGCCACTATATGAAGTGATGAATTTTTTAGAAGAAACAATGCACAGGAGAAGGTAAATATACTACAAACTCATGTTCACAAAATTAATTGACATTTTAAGGTGATATAGTCTATTCTAATCTAACAAATTTTTAGAGTTAAATTAATGGAAAAAAAAAAACTGATTTATGGTTTTTATAGCTTTTAGAAAGTTAATTAATTGTTACAGAACGTATTCAAGTTTCAAAGAAAAAGATGACTTAGAAAATGAAAATTCAGAAGAAGAAGAAAAAAAAGAAGAAGAAGAAAAAGAAGAAGAAAAAAAATCAAAGAAACAAAAAATGAATGAAGCTAATAAGTCAAGGTGTATAATAAAAGAAGAACATTCTTACAAAAAAACTAAAGGAAAATGTAATGAGTCAAGTGAAATGTTAAAAGCATTTAGTACAGTTAGTTCTTCGATCCAAAAAATAAACGAAAAAATATTAAATAAAGAGAAAAGTAGAGATGAGGCGTTATGCAAAATGATTTTAAGAGGATTACAAGAGAGTACAGGATCAAAGAAAAAGACTTTGAGAAAAAAATTATTGAAAGTTATTTCTGAAAATTTGGAATCAGATAGTGAATAAATTTATTGCGTAATTAATAATTTATATTCTTGAAAAAAATGTTAACAAATTTTTAATCTAAAACTAATGATATTGAATAAAAAATTTATATATTGTTACACAAATACAATCTTTATTTGTATTTAATTAAGTTTATATATGTAAATAAATTCTAATTATTGTTACAAAAGTTATACAAGCAAGTTATTCATTTTCTGTCAAAGCTCCATGTTCTTTCAAAGACAAAATCGAATTCTCATTTGTAATAAAAAAGAGTCTAAAGGAACTCGTTGAATCTCTGGAGTTGAATATCTATCCAATGCATTATATTAGCAGTTCTGTAAATTAGATGAAACTAATAAATATCAAAATAATTATTTATTATATTTATAATGAAATATAATAATACAATACCTTTCAAGAGATGTAATAATGTAATTAACACTCAGTTAATTAAAATTACGTATCAGGCTTATACACAATTTTATCCAAATGATTATTTTTTAAAAATATTAATTGTTTTGAATTAATAAAAATCATTTATTCAATAAAAATTAATGATTTATTTTTTCGAATTATAAAAATGCATTTATTTATAAAATTTTTGCACATAAATACACTAATATATATTTCTTCTTCATTATTTGCACTAGGTATTTGAATAAATTTAAAAATCACCACTGTACATAAATAAAATTTAAAGTACACATATACATTAAATAAAGCATTGACATTTCCGCTTATGTTTACGATAGTGTTTAATGTTCCGTTCCTATGGACTAAGTTTTGTTTCTTATTCCTAAAGTTTAATGTCTAATGTCCTATTGTAGACGGGGCTTAAATAAACTCTCATTGTACTCAATTTTTGCGCAACGAAATTTTTTCAATTTCGTGTATTATGGATGAAGCAATGATAATACTTTATAGTATTCTTAATCGAAAGTCAACGATTGCTTTCCGAGCAAATTATTAATTTCAACCCATGTTTATGTTATAATAAAAAAAAAATTTTTAATTTAAAAATCATAACCTGCAAAAATCATCTTTTATAATTTGTATAGAGACACGGTAGTGCCTAGAGATGTGAATTTACCGGTAATAGAAAATTCGGTAATTACCACGTAAAATTACCGGTATCTGACGGTATTCTGACGTCAAAAAATTCTGAATGTAAAATTTACCGTCAAGCCGTCGGTCAGCGTAATTACCGTAAATTACCGGTCATTCGCATCTATATAGATGAATATGATAAGCTTTTTACCGAGGAAATGGCTTGCTTTCGAACTTGCTTGCCAATTTGCTTAAGTTAATTTTGCTTTTTGCACTTGTTAATTTAAAACTAATTAATTATTATAAGATGAAAAAAAAATTTTGTAATTTGTAATAAAAAAAATATTTTACATTCTTGACTGTTAGGACAGAAATAATAAATATATTGAAAATTATTATAAACGTTTATTTAGTTAAGTTTTTGGTACATTTTTTTTTATAAAATAGATAATCCTTCGTTATTACATATTATAAAGAATTTGACTTTTTTAACTTTTATGTAAATTATTTATGAAAAAATAAAACCATATAATCTATAGTTTCTATCATCTAGTAATATCACATAATAATTGACATATTTCATTAGGAAATAACAAATCTAATACTGATTCAATTCCATCAACATCACTAATTAGTCTTGAGTAAATTCTTCTTCTAAAAATTCAACTTCTTCATGCTCAGCACAAATTTCACTTATTTCATCCTCTCCTTTATTACTTTCCTCATCTTCTTCCCATTCTTCTTCTGTATTTTTTGGTGAAGGATTAAGTAATTTTAAATTTCTTGCAATGTATGTTATTTTTCCAGCTCTATCGATACTTAACTTATTTCTTTTAGATGAATGAATCCATCCTTGTGTACTAAAGGAACGCTCGGTTGCAGCTGATGTTGCAGGTAAAGTCAATATAGCCACAGCTATTTTGCTCAACGAAGATTTTTGGCAAATACTTTGCCACCATTGACATGCTGAAGTGATTATACTTGCTCGCTTAACGTAGTCGTAACTCCACATACTTGATTCTGACACATAATCTGTTAAATCTTTTAATACCTTATCACTATTTAGATTTAATTTATCACCAAGATTTATAATTAATTGATGAGCTTCAACCATTTCTGACCTATTTAAATTTTTTCCTTTTAATTGAGGATCAAGTAAGTTAGCTGCATAATGTATGGGCGCGTAGAGCCATAGTTTTACGATTTTCTAAACAAGTATATATGCTCAGCTTTTCTTCTTCCGAAAAAATATTTCCAATATTGCTTGACTACCAATATCTTTCATGAGTAGGTTAAGAATGTGAGCAGCACAACCATAACAATACAATTTGTCGACATTATACTTTTGATCTATCAAAGTCCAAGCACTTTTCATTGCAGCACAATTATCTGTACAAATTCCGATAACTTTTTTAATTCCCAAAGCATCAATAACACTTCCTATTTTTCAGAAATATATAAGGCAGTTTGTGATTCGGTTCCAGTTGGAAATGTTTTGAAAAAAACTGGCGCTGGGGTTGTTACAATAAAATTGATGATTCCTTCTTTGCGAATATTAGACCATGCGTCACATTGCACTCCAACAGTAGTAGCAGATTCAATTTTTTCATTAACCATATTTTGTGTTCTAACGAATACTGAATCTAAAAGATTATTTGATATTTGATTTCTTGATGGCAAATTAAATGAAGGCCGTAATGCGTTAAAAAATTTTAGCCAATATGGATTTTCTGTTATACATAATGGTGTACCAGATGCATAAATCGCTTCTGCAAGTAGTTCTTGTAGAGAATCTTCATCTTTTTTTGACATTTTATCACAAAAACTATCGATTGTATTTTTTTTATAGTTATTGCTACAAACACTTATATTATTTGGTAAATTTTCATTTGAAATCATTGAAGTACTTGCTCTATTGTCTGCTTCATTCAAATCTTCAATAGTAAATGAGTCGTCTGTGCTGTTTAGATGAGAATTATTTCGTTTACGAGGTTTACATGGTTTTAAAAGTTTCCGTAAGTCTTGAGGACAACTTCTACACTCTTGATAAAGATGTTTTCGCATGCGAGTAATGTTTTCTGCATACTTTTTCTTGCAATAGTTACATGAATACGATTTTAATTTTTGGTTAGGTTGCAGAGGTAATGCAGAGAAATGTTTATATATTGATTTGTTCTCCCCCATTGCACCAAGTTCTCAATGAAAATCCTTATCTACAAATTGAATTTTCTTATATTAAATATTATCAGTATTTTTAATAAACAAATAAAAATGAAAATATATACCTGATAGAACAAATAAACAGTTGTATGCCGTTGGGAATTCTAAACTGTGATTGGACATGTATTAACCAATCAGAGATCAGCATTTTTCTGACCGGTATGGTAAAACAGGCTTGGTCATTGACGCGTTTTTTTACCGGTAATTTACGGTAAATTTACCCGTCAATTACCGATTCACATCTCTAGCCTCGTCCTTTATCAATGTTCATATTTATAAATTATGAGCTATTCGCTTGGGTACGGAGGGTGGGGATAAGAGCTTGCCGGCGAAGCGCCAGAACTCGCAGTCTTCTCTCTGGTGGATAAGACGGAGAGAAATGTAATACTTTGTTCTCTGTCTTGCTCGGAACAGATGATTAAAGAATTTGTGAATTCTATGGTGCCCTAAGGCTTCCCTTTTATTATGCATCCCTGAAAATTATCATTTTTCGAACGATTTCCCTGTTACCTACTCAATTTCAATTGATATCGAGCTTCAGCCTTTTGCCGCACAACGCGAGGGCGCAAAGTCAACTTCGGAACTTTTCTTAGGTATAGCCCAGTCTTAATGTTGCGTAGTGTACAGTACCGGACATAAATGCTATTCAATTTTTTAAGGGTTATACAGGCGATTTCCCTATACCGTCCTATAGAAAATCACACAGCATTTATGTCCGGTACTGTATAAGTTCGCCGTTCTTGTAAACATAGCATTTGATTGTCTTCAATTGAATTATGAAAAAAAATAGTTGAAAATGTTACCAACATTATTTGTTTTTAAAAAGAAAGTTAACGTTCTTCAAACCTATTATTCAATTCGTCGTCTAACAGCTGTTGAAGAAATGGTAAATAAATGTAACAATTTTTTTCATCAACATAAAACGAAAATTGAGCGCGATGTTTCGTATACATTTTTTTTCGTAAACAATTAAGATGCTATTGAGGACGGCAAATTAGCTGAAATTTCGAACAGGATTTTTCGATACATGATAAATTTATGTTCAGATAATTCACGTGTCATGCGATTTTTGATTGAACTTTGGATCTCATGACACTCGAATCATTTGAATATAAATTTATCATTTATCGAATAATTCTATTCGACATTTTAGCTAATTTGCCGTTCTCAATAGCTCTTTAATTGAATTCACCATATGTTCATTCATTACAGGATAAGTTATTGTCTGAAGAAAGGACTGTTCTACTGTCTCCTCTTCTAAAAAGTGGGTGGACTATCCAGTCAGGAAGGGATGCTTTACAGAAAGAATTTTTATTTAAGGATTTTAACCAAGTAAGATCCATTTTATTCATGATCACGGTTTATGAGCTTATTATTATAATACAATTTTTTTAGGCATTTAGTTTCATGACAAGTGTTGCATTAAAAGCTGAAAAAATGAATCATCACCCCGAATGGTTCAATGTATATAATAAAGTTAACATTACGTTATCGTCACATGATGTAAATGGCATATCTCATCGAGATATTTTGCTCTCTGAATTTATCGATATAACTGCAAAAAATACTCAGAATGTCAAGTCATGAACCCTATGTACTGATACTAACAATATTATGTAAATTGCTTTCAAGTTATAAATAAAAATGTGTGTTAAGTTGATTGAATCGTATTTTTTTTATACCTTAGAAACAGCTCCTATGAATTTACTGAGAAAATTTTAGTTAAAAATCTGGAGAACATCATTTGTCTAACCTCCCTGATTGAACAATAAAATTCAAGTCAATACAATTTTGTAGACTTTGAATTGGATTTAATAAGCTTCAATTAGGAACCAATAATCCGTCTATTTAGACACAATAAAAATAATGTATTGTATTTAAGGCTGGGCTGAAGTCAGAAAGTTTCCCGGAGTTGACTGTACGCCCTCGTGTTGTGCGGCAAAAGGCCGAAGCTTGACATCAATTGAAATTGAGTAGGTAACAGGGAAATCGTTCGAAAAATGATAATTTTCAGGGATGCACTACAAAAAGGGAGCCTTAGGGCACCAAGAAATTTATAAATTTCAGAATAATCTGTTCCAAGCAAGACAGAGCACAAAATATATCTATCTATCTCCGTCTTATTTTTCAGAGAAGACTGCGAGTTCGAACAGTTGACGAGCAAGTACATACCCCACCCTCTGTTACCAAGCCTGAAGCTTATGATCTCTAAACGTAAACAAAGCAAATGAAAATATGCTGGCTCTGTAGTCAGAACGTTCGACAGTTATTTTACCGAACGTTGTTCGATTCCAATTGCGGCAAAATTTTTTTTTATTCAA